TAATGGAAACAACTCTTTAATCCATTCATTTCCAAATGCAATCCAAACAGCTGTGGAGGGACTCCACTACTTAACAGCAGCATCTTTAAGAAAGTTGCCAAGAACTCAGAAACGTAGTGAAACATGGTGCTTTTAGTATTGAGAGAAAAACATTACAAGGAATGTAGTGGTTTGAATACCTCTTTATTTAATACACACAAGAAAGTTGCCACTGCAGTTTCAAAAGTGGAAAAACGTGGTAACTTTTCTTTTTTGTGTTAATGGAGAAATAACAGATGAGAAAGTAACACAACCAGCCATTTTATTCCAGTTATTTTACTTAACACACATACATGCACGCACTTACACATCCCCTCCAAGAATTAAGTTAAAGGTTTTAAAAATATTACTAGACATCAAAAATGTTATTGAAAATATCTCAACTTTTGGCATGAAAAAATGTTTCTTTCAATTTTCTGGCAAAAGATTAACATGACTTTAGCTATTCCAGTTCTTAGCTGAAATGTTGGTTGTGTTCAGAGGAAGAAATGCATACTACCAGTCTTCTCATTTGCCATGAACACGTAGATGAAGGTATTTTTTGTTTCGGCAGAAAAATCTTAACTTTGCACAGGTATGAAAGCCTTCATACGTAATGTTATCCTCCTCAATGAATGTAGTATTTGCTGACAAGAGATTTATCATGTATGTTCTATTACAGATCTTTCAAAAGAAAGCATACAGTCAATGTGCTTTTCCACATCCTGTGTTTTTACTGCATTTAAACACGAATAGGTTTTATCATGCATAATTATAGTTTTACAGTTCATATAAAAAGGAATTCTGCACAGCCTTAATCCAGCTAATCATGGCTAAGATCCTGGTTCACAGTGCTGAAGTAATAAAGTTACCCAGTGTACACCTGTCAATCATCATCCAGATGAATTAAAAAGAAGTGATTCTAGAATACAGGTAGAGATGAGCTTTTTTTGCTCCTATACAAAGTGTATCTTAAGGCTTTTGCAGTACACTATAGCTAACAAGTACTCATTTAGGAGCATTAAAGCTGTGATAAAGTATCTGTCTATGCATCAGCAACTTAAATCTTAAGAAATACTTGACAGTTCAGGATGTTTCATTATCTGCATACGTGTATGCTCACTGCTGAACATTAATAACATCTTTTGCTGGTGTCATGGTTTAACCCCAGCCAGCAACAAAGCACCATAGAGCCGCTCACTCACTCCCCCCGCGGTGGGATGGGAGAGAGAATCAGAAGAGTAAAAGTGAGAAAACTTGTGGGTTGAGATAAAGACAGTTTAATAGGTAAAGCAAAAGCCATGCACACAAGCAAAGCAAACCAAGGAATTCATTCACTACTTCCCATCAGCTGCCAGGTATTCAGCCACCTCCAGGAAAGCAGGGCTCCAACACACATAATGGTTACTTGGGAAGACAAAATGCTGTAACTCCGAATGTCCCCCCCTTCCTTCTTCTTCCCCTAGCTTTACAAGCTGAGCATGATGTCATATGGTGTAGAATAGAACAGAATAGAATCATTAAGTTTGGAAAAGACCTCCAAGATAATCTAGTCCAACCATCAACCCAACACCATCATGCTTACTAAACCATGTCCTAAAGTGCCACGTCTACGTGTTTTAACACCTCCAGGGACAGTGACTCCACTACCTCTCTGGGCAGCCTGTTCCAATGCTTGACCACTCTTTGAGTAAAGAAGTCTTTCCTAATATCCAATCTAAACCTCCCCTGGCGCAGCTTGACCCCATTTCCTCTCGTCCTATCACTAACTGCTTGGGAGAAGAGACCAACACCCACCTCACTACAACTTCCTTTCAAGTAGCCATAGAGAGCGATAAGGTCTCCCCTCAGCCTCCTCTTCTCCAGGCTAAACAATCCCTCAGCTGCTCCTTGTAAGACTTCTTCTCCAGACCCTTCACCAGCTTTGTTGCCCTTCTCTGAACACGCTCCAGCACCTCAATGTCTTTCTTGTATTGAGGGGCCCAAAACTGTACACAGTATTCCAGGTGCGGCCTCACCAGTGCTGAGTACAGGGGGACAATC